ATTTATTACAAGTTCTCGAAGATAATCCTCATTTGACACAAATTTCATCATTTATAGCACTTTCCGGTCTTCAGAATCAATTGACAAGTATTTCAAACAAAATTCAATGATTTTAGAGATTTATTTTAAATTTATTAAAATTATTTCAAAAATGCATTTTTGTCTTAAAGCCAACGATTCATTTACATTCTTCGCGCCCAATGATGAGGCCTTCCGAGCGGTTCCCTGGCCTGTCACACAACAGATGCTCTCTAACAACACTTTTCTAAAATGTACACAATTTAGATCATTATAAACTAATTCAATGAATTGACCATATTCATCCCCTTCTAAATTAGTATTAATCGCCAATCATTTGATTCCCGGTAAACAATACGCCACGGGTTTGGCCGGCAATAAGATCTACTCAATTGGTGGCAATGTCTTAAACTTCACGAGTAGAACCGGTATTTGCAATAATTATGGGAACAAATTAAAGTAGACTTAACTAAAACAAACTTCTCTTATGTTTTTGCAGTTCAATCGCATTCATTAGTTTTAGTCAATTTAGTGCCGATCATAGACTCGGATCTGATCGCCACCAATGGTGTGATTCAAGTGATTACAAGAATTATTCTGCCCAAAGAATTGATGGACGACTGCAAGTGTCTGCCAAACAGTACCACAACTAAAAGACCAGACAGACAGTCGTCGGGCAACGAGACATCAACGATAGACCCTTTAATAGAGAAAATGCTGGGAACCGATGAAAATATCAATAATATTGATCGACGATACGGTTTGGCACCGCCGAGGAATGGACAACAATCTGGGGATCACTTCACTTCTACTCCGAAGCCGGTGACGTTCAGATCCTTTTGGGACGACCTCTTCTCTGCCACTGAAGACCCGCTTAACGCAAACCAATCGGTGACCGGAAACGGGACACAAACCACAGGCAGTGGTGACAGGAATACGACAACTCTGTCGTCGACGACACCGAATCCAAACGTCACAGAATTGCCATTCCTTTGGGACTTTCTGACCACCGAAACCCCGCAGCCATTGAATCAAACAACTGACAGACCTGTCAATGACAGCACATCCAGAGTATCGGCGACGAGACGATTGAGACAATACACGCCTGGAGTTCAATACGACGACGAGAGTAACACCACAACCGCCACAACTGGCAACGGAACCGCTGCTGACGGGACGGCATCCACACCACAGCCCACTTCATGGACCCGACCTTTCTATAGGCCAGGCGTCAGACGGAGCACAACAGAAACAACGGCTCAAAGCGCTACAAATGCGACCGAAACGACAACTCCTTTCGGAATCGGGAACTCATATTTTAGGCCAACTGTGAAGCCTGTCTTCCGGCCGACCCATAGGAGGGACACATTCACAGCTCAGCCAAACACAGACAATACTGTCCCGCCTTATGATCGCCGGTATGGCATTCAAAGGGATAGAAAGCCTATCAACGAAAGCGATGATCAGTTAACCAGAAGATCCCAAATCAGTTCAAGACTACAAGAGCCCATTGAACAGCGCAAAGATGACGATCAATATATTGAACAAGAAATTGAAAATCAATCCCATTATAGTCCGAACCGAACACAATATCCGTATCAAAGAGATCCCAAAGGGAGTCAACAATCGTATGATCGACGGCCACAATCGCAAGACATAGCCTCCCAGCCATTCGTTAGACGACCCTATGATCAGAGAGTGAGTCCACGAAACGAATCCAGATATTTGCCCGAAGAAGTGCAACAAAAACCGTATTCACCCACTTCTTGGACTCATCAGCAAAACATATCCCACTCGGACTCAAGACAACAGACATCATCCGATCTTTCGGCGCCAACACATCCGTCAGAACCTNCAACAGACATCATCCGATCTTTCGGCGCCAACACATCCATCAGAACCTCCGCGACAACAACTCAATTGGTGGGACTCTCGATACGAACCGGATGTCTATTCTGTGGCGGCCTTTGCTCCTACACCTCAAGACCAACAGCGAAGACCTCAGGCATACGACCCGAGGACTCCCTATCAACCGGCAAGACCTGAGCGGCCGCGCGATTACAGACCCGGAGTTGTATACATAGATCAAAGCGATTCTCACTATTATAGACCGCCGACAAAAGACAGGCGAATCTTTAAACCAAGAAATGACACCAAAACGAGTCCACAATCTTCCAGAGCCGGAGCGGCGAGAAGTCAGAAACCAACGAGTGATGTATATTCCAGACCACAATATATGGACAGATCATACGTACCCTCTTATGATCCCTTTGCGAGACCACCGATGGTTGTGGGAGAGTATCCACACATGTATAATATTGATCACTCGTATCCATCAATGGATCAATTTAGACCTCCTGTACGCCAACCCTTCCAGAGAGATCAACGATTGGATCCATTTGATAGACGAAGACCTGTTAGCGATACGAAGACCTCTTCGTCGTCGTCTAATTATGACACCATAAGAAGGAGAGGAGACACTCGTGATCGCAAACCTGAAGAGACAAAAGCGGACCCAAATCTGAAAACAATTAGTGAAATCATAGAATCACCGGATCTGATGGTCGGCGGAAAATTCAGACAATTCAACACTTTGAAGGATATGATCACCGATTCTGGTCTTTGGGATGCATTGAATAGACCGACGACTTATATCACTATATTTATGCCAACAGACGACGCGTTCGCCGCCATCACCGATGGATCCGTTGAGCAAATGAAGAGAAATCCCAAACTTGTCAGAGATTTTCTAACACAACATATACTCGGATATAGTCTTCCGCCGCAGAATCTCAAGAATAATATGAAAGTGAAATCATTGAACGGAGAAATGCATTTAATTAATGTGATAGACGGCGGAAAAGTTAGTTTAAAAATAGTTTGTTTTGCAAAACTAAATGTTTAAATATTTCACATTTTTGTAATAACTTTATCACCAGATTATGGTTGACGGGAATGAAGTGATCGCCGCGACGGCCGCCAAGAATGGCAACGTCTATGTGATGGACAAAGTGCTGGAAAGGAGTGGTCGCAGATCCCGATCCATTCCCGATGAGTTGAGACGCCGATCAGATTTGAGCACATTTTCCAGTTTATTGCAAAGAAGTGATCTCATGAGTCAATTATCTCGTGGTTTGTATTTATGCATAAATTCCATAAAACTTAATTATCATGTTATTTTGATTGTGACCAGAATCTGGACCATTCACTGTAATGGCTCCGACCAATACTGCACTCAATAATGCAAATATAAGACAACTAATTAAGAGTCAAAAAGATTTAAATGGTTTGCAATTATGACGAGTATTTGTTTTTTGGTTTTATATTTATCACATGATTTGAACGTAGATTTTGTGCGCAAACATGTAATGGATGGCGCCGTTTATAGCCAACAATTATCTGATCCAAGCGATGGAAGTGATAATAAAGATATTAGAAGAGTTGGCTTGAGTTCAGGTAAATATTTCAAAGATATTTTCTCATTTAAAACAAATGTTTCACTTAATAAACAGACGCTCCGATTACTATCAATAACTCAACTCAAGTGATATCTCCAGACATAACCACAGAGAATGGTGTCATTCATATCATTGATAGTGTTTTGCCCGAAAAGTTAAACATAACCGATAGGTCACAGAAATTATGTAAGTATTTAATTAATGATTTAAAAAAAATAATTAACTTTTTTTTATTAAAATGTTTAGCAAACGAAGAACCAGATCGAAATGGGAGACTGTCTTCAGTGCAGAGATCGGCACAGAGTCTTGGGATCAGACGATTCACAAATTGGCTCAATAAGAGTGGTTTATTGGATGAGCTCATCAAAGATGGTCGAGAGTACACTGTTATTGTGCCGACGGATAGGGCTGTCGGCAAACTGCCACTAAAGATACAGTCCATACTGAATAGCGAACCCTCCCGACTGACCAGTCTCTTGGAATATCACATAATTCCCGGTTTTGTGGACACAA